AGGAAGAATAAACATAAAAAAGGTGGGGCAGAAAAAAAATGGTTGGTTGGTTGGGTTTTGGTTTTGTTTGTTTTTAATTAGAGGAACAAGCAATTCAGTAAATTCGTATCTGCTGCATAAGAAGGGAAGAATATGAAGAAAGACTGAAGGTGAAGCTAAGGAAGAGAGAATACATATTTGATACAAGCCTTGCTAAAAATACACTCTGGATAACTGGCATCCTTCAGCAGTATCAGCCTAAAGCAACCAAGGCAATAAACATTTGTCCTCTACATTGCCATTCCTAAAATACATACTTGGCAAAAAAGGGTAGAGCATTGCGCTTATGCCTCCTTAGGTTGGAGTAACAGCTGCAGGCTTTTCAGACCTCTTTTAACAGAGGCTGCCAAGAAACAATATCATTGTTGATTTGATGAGCTGGTAACAGCTGAGGAATGTCTTAGAGGACAGGTGCCTCAGTCCATGAATCTATCAGTTCATCAATGCTTTGTAAGACCCTTTGTATTTTCATGTAGCTCCAAAGCAAAGTGACAACAGAATTCTCAAATATTCTATATTCATTCTTGGAATAACACCAACAAGTTACTCCTCTCCTTTCTGTGAAATTTTCATCTGAATGAATAAAAAGGCAAGAAACTTTGATTAATACGAAATTTAATTCTTTTCTAGCCATAGGCATAGTTGTCTGTTAATTATTTTTCACCTTACCAGTACTGTCCTGACAATTACAAAAAGATTTGCTTCTCCTCCTCCATGGATGGCTGACCTGCAGCCCAAAGCACCACCACGTAAAAGGAATGCCTGTGCCCTTGTATTCAGAAAGACAGCTGCACATTAAGTCAAATAAGGAACTTCCAGATACAGGAGAGAGAGTGAATATGTCCTGCAGCAATTTTATAAACACATTAAACTCTAACAACCCATATTACCAAACAGTTTACCTGTAGCAAAGCATGCTTCTGCCCTTCAGTGCACAACTCTAAACTTTGTCTCTGAGGACAAAGAAGCAGTCAGGTGGGACAAGAACAACTTAGAACAAAATACCCATTTTTAAAGATATGTTGTCTTTCTCCTTCATGTGCTTGTGCATCCATACTGTGTGCAATTTCATGTGGAGAAGGAAAACAGGTGCTGCAGCTTCAAAGAGCTCACTAATTTCTCACATCAGGGAAATAAAACTCCATGGGCAGTCTCTAATCATTCCTGAGGCCTCTGAAAGACCTGCTATTATTATTACAAACGGCAGGTGGGAAAGGAAAGCTCTCACACTCGGAATGCAGAGCAGGGAAGATACAGCTACAAAGTGAACCTTGGCTGAAGGACTCAAACTCTTCAGCTCTCAACAGGGAGCAGCAGACACAAGCACAGTACCGGGTCCTTACTGCATGAGATTTTTCTGGTAGTAAATTCTGTGAAATCTTTTATCTATAGAGTTGTTAAGCAGAACACAAGAAAGTCAAAGAAAAGCTCAAGGTCTGAAACCTTTTAAGAGGTTGCATTGTTTTAAGAAGAACACCAACTCCAAAAATGAGGATGGAGAAATGAGTGGATGAAGAAAAGGATCCACGATACCTATAGACTACCTCGCCCTAACAACAAGCCCAGTTATCCACAGCCCTAAAGATAACTTCCCTGGTGTGGTAATAAATAGTAAACTTGGGGGAGTATACCATCAACAACAAACCATAACAATGGCCTGATGGATCTATAGTAGCCTTCAGGTAAATAGGATGGAACACGACTTACACCATTTTTCCTCTCAGATTCAAGCTCCTTGTGCCTTCCTATCTCAGCAGGTAGCTGACCTTCATCTTCTAATATCCACAGACTTGAAAGATCTCAAAACTGACAACACACAAAATCCATTATCAGAAGAGTTCACATGTCATACCAAAGTTTATGAAGGAGGAACAAAAAAATAAATGTGAAACCAAACAGTCAAAAGAAATATCAGAAAAAATGGGCTTCTCAAAGTTAGACTCCAAGAGGTAAGAAGTGTCCTTTCAATGCTAAGGAAAACCTGTATGGAGACATAAAAATGATGGTACAGTTCAGGTTTACCACACATTTCTCTTTCTTACACCCAAGTGGTTAAGAGAAACTGAAGGGGAAGACTATGCCCTAACTCCTCTTGGACAGCATGTGATGCAGGTGGGCCTGAAATGAACTCCCACAGTCATTTTGAATGTCAAAAGTTTTTCTGCCTAACAAGTTTATCAACAGTGCTATCACAAATATAAACAAACTTCAAAGGTAAAAGCAGCTACACACTAATCCTTCAAATTAGTAGGCTGTTGGTTTTGTACACTGGAGAAACCAAAGGGATATAGAAGGATTATAGATACCACATACTCACATCTACCATTTATGACTCCATTAGCTAAACACAGACTGAAATCAAAGTTTGCCTTCACTGAAAAATGGGACTTGGTAAGTTACCCAAGATATCTTTGAACAAGCTTCCGAGACCACCAAAAAATAAAATTAGTTACATGTGAAGAGTAGCTTATTGAAGTGATTTGGGAATCATGGGACGCTTCCTAAGTCAGTCAGCCTATTGCTAGCAGAATGGAGAGGGATGTCTCTTGAGGACAATTCACCAGATCTGTATTAATGAATATCGAAATGGGCCAAGTGAACCATAAACTGTAGAGTAAGTGTGCTATTTCCCTGTACAGATAATTAAGAAAGCGCAGACAATTTAGTGCAGCTGTAGACATCTAAAATTAGACAAGATTTATCACAGTTTTGGTCTGTTAACAAACCTCACTGTGACTAGGGCAATGAAAATTGACAACTTTTGGAAGAGGTGTTACTCACCAGGGACAGTTGCTTGCCTCTGCCTATCTCACAACTAAAAGAGCTTACTCCAGCAAGTGAGATATCAGTATTGCTCAGTTCAGCAGCTTACTGTAAAGAATCTTTAAAAAGGTAGGCTTGGACCACAGAAGTGGCAGATGAATTGATTTAATTTCTACTGTTTGGTATGGTCTGCTTAATCCACAACTATAATATCCTCTCCAGACATTAGATGTTAATAAATCTCTCCCGCATCATATACAATCAGTTCTTCACATTAAGACATTCATTGCAAACCACAGCTTGAAAGTTAGTTTTACTCTTAAATAAACTTCATGTTTGGAACAGACTGCAGAAAACAGACACACAAACAGTACCTAAGTATGAATAGTCAATAAATAACTTCTTTAAAGAGAAGGATCTATTCTTAAAAAAAAAAAAAAAAGTAGCTAAAACATGACGCTTGTAGCTAAAGTCTAATACATCCCCCATCTCAGTCAACGTTAGAATCCAGAAATCTTTTCACAAGGCAATAAAGCTATCATTTCGGTACAAAAGAATTCCAGTAAAGCCTCATCAAGTTTTCTATCAGGTAAACCTTCTAAAAATCATAGAATCATAGAATGGTTTGGGTTGGTAGGGACTTTAAAGGTCATCTAGTTCCAAACCTTTTGCCATGGGCAGAGACACTTGTCTCATGACCAGGTTGCTCAAAGCCCCATCCAACCTGGTCTTGAACACCTCCAGGAATCAACCATCCACAGCTTTCCTGAGCAGCCTGTTCCTGTGTCTTAACACCCTCATAGTGAAGAACTTCTGCCTTACATCTAATCTAAATTTACCTTCTTAGAGATTGAAGCCATTACCCCTCATCCTATGACTACAAGTCCCTGTAAAAAGTCCCTCCCCAGCTTCCTTGTAAGCCCCCATCAGATACTGGAAGGCCACAATAAGGTCTCTCTGGAGCTTTCTCTTCTCCAGGCTAAACAACTCCAACTCTCTCAGCCTGTTCTTCTAAGAGGTGTTACAGCCCACTGACTAGCTTCATGGTCCTCCTCTAGACCTTGCTCCAACAGGTCCAGGCACCTCTTGTGTTGGAGGCTTCAAAGCTGGACGCAGTACTTCAGGTGGGGTCTCCCAAGAGCAGAGTAGATGGGGAGGATCACCTCCCTTGACCTGCTGGCCATGCCTCTTTTGATGCAGCCCAAGATACAGCTGGCCTTCTTGGCTGTACTTGTACTTTGTTGGCTCATGCTGAGTTTTTCATCAATCAGCACCCTCAAGTCTTTCTCCTCAGGACCGCTCTCAATCCATACTCTGCCCAGCCTGTATTTGTGCTTGGGACTGCCCCGACCCAGATCTTAAATCATAAAGCAACTAGCTATACATTTTGATTTCAGAGATCCCCTCAACAGTGAACTGACTCTCTCCTTCAGGCCAAAGCATTTGTACCTCCATCTCCAGGGGCAAATATCTCCCCAGAGCCTGGAGACATCCTTCACTGACTAATTTCCAAGCTCATCCTGTGCCTTTGATCTCTCAAGAGTGAGAATGACTCACTCTACATGCACCAGTCAGAGAAAAAGTGCTGTTTGACCTAATTTTTTTTGCTCATACTCTTTAACTAACAGATTTCCTGAATCCTACAGTATCAGTCTTGCAATATTTTATCACATCATAACAAACATTCACAGAATCCACAGTCTAAATATAGTAACAGAAATTGCAGAAATACAGTCCTTTGCCTACCCAACCTTTCTATTATACCTACTAGGGATTCATGCTCTCAATAAATTAGGCTTAAATTCTGATTTTAAGTATCTTTAAAGTGGTAAAAAAAGATACGCAACATGTCTTTAAGACATGATCCAAATATAAACCAGTACATCAATATTCTTACAAACTAGAATCTCTGAAGTTATAGAGTAACATTTTGTATTGACAAGTTTGTCTGGAATTATTCCATATGATATATATTGATTCTGAAGGTTACAAATATAAGTTCAGAGTAAGCATCAAATTCTCAAGATCAATCCCATTACAAAGTAATTAAGTGATCTACTACTTCAAAGATTTGGGAAAAACAGAAATCTGTACGCTAAAGACTCTCGTATATAGGTACAAGAAATGGTGCAGGCAACTTGAAAGCTGTTTGTTTCCTTGCTATTGCAAGATAGTCCGAAATTATTTCAGAAACTTACCACGTTCCAAGCAGAATCTCGGGCAGATCTTGTTCAAAAGAAGTTCCTGACGTAACCAAAGCACTTCAGCTTCCAGTGCTTCAACTTTTGACTTCCATCCAAAATCTTGCTTGGCTATAGTTTTGGCAAGGTGCTCAGTGTATTCTTTGCAACTCTTCTCTGGTGGTTTTGATCTGATAATTGCAAAAGCCAACGCTAGTTTTGATATTTTCAAATACCAAACTTGATTTTCTCTTCCGCTTTTGATTTCTATTACATTAGAAAAACAGAAAACAAAAAAGTAACTTCACTGTGACCCAACTAAGGAAATTATACACAGTATTTTCTTGCCTTTAAAAACTGTTCAACAGTGAGAACAATTAATTTATTTTCATTCCTGCACCATCAAGGAAAGAATAAAATACAAGAACCTGTGCACAATGCGAGAATAAAACATATATGAGCTGCACTCCAGCTATAACAATAAAATTCAGTCAGTGTTTGTGAATATTATGGAAATAGCAAGCACTTCGAGTAGGTTTATCCTAGCAAAATTTTAAATGAAAACGTTACCTCCACTAAAAGATGAAACTACTAAAATTATTAACCTCAAAAAAAAACCCAAAAATCCACTGACAACCTCCCCCCCGCAAAAAAGTCCTAAGCCCATGACTGAAGAGTGCATGCAGGGTTATTTATATTTAGCTTAAATACAATACAAACAATTTCTTGAAAGTGTACTAAAACTTCTGAGGCTGTTGTTAGTTTCTTGTTTGGGACACCTGGTATTGCTGCACTTGAAATTCTAAGTCTACATTAAGCCTCAAGTTTGTAGATAGGTCGATGCATGGAGCTTCAAAGTGATGCAAGTGGATAGTAAGGTGAGTGAAGGCAGCTTTACCAGCTCTCTTATGGAGGATGAGGCAAAAGGCATTACAGGAGTCAGAAAAAGAAAATATATATCTAGAGGATTACAACAGCACAAGGTCTAGGAATGGAAAAGAAAAAAATTAAATTTAAAAATAACCAATAATATCTAGCCTAATGAGCAGAGTGTTGGTTTGATTTTTTTTTTTTTTTTCTAATTCTACACCATTTTTACTCAGTAGTTCACTGCAATTTTTTTACTTGGAAAAAAAAGAATCCAGAAAAACAGATAAAACCCGAACCAACCAACCAACCAACCAAAAATCAGTTCCTACACTTTCATCCTGACCTTGACATCTAAAAATTGTTCAGAATACTATTTTTTTTCTTTAATAGACTGTGTCGAGTAACTCTGAAATAGTCACAGCACAGGTCTCAATAAGGTATCGTATGTCATCCTTTCATCAGATCTCTTGCTCTCACTAAGCTGCTATCTTCCTTTAGTTCTCCTCAACTTTGGACAGTAAGTCATAAATCATCACACATTTATTAATCCATCAGGGGCACTTACAGAAAGGGCTGACTTGAAAAAGAAAAATTCTTTCACCTTTCAAATACTTCCAAAATGCAGAAAAAAACTCCTATACATTCCTTGAACACTGTCCATTCTCACACACCAGTCAGTTACACTTTGACAGGTACAGAGCACACCCTTGGGATCTAACTACCTAGAGCTATGTTTCAAGCTACCATTCTCCACTTCTGCTGTGTGTCAGGGCAAAACCACCTAGTGTAAGCTCCCAGTGCACTCTTAAAGCTAATGAAAGAGTAAGCCCGTAGAAACTGAACTATACTATATATATCTGCTGTTTAAAGCAGCCATGCATTAGATAAATGGTACTTTTTGCAAAACTCCTTACTTGTAGAAATCTATTTCAGACAACTTTTCCATTTGTATCTCAGAATTTCAGTGCAAAAGCAGAAGCTAATTCTCAAGCCTCAAAGGATCAGCACCACTCTGGGACAATAAACTGATCTAAGACTCTTGCTTGCCTTATACATCAAAGGAAATGTTTTAGAAACACAGAACCATGCAAGTAATTGAACTGCCTTCAAAGCTGTGAATAAAATGAAATACATGCAACCACACTGAAAGAAGAGTAAGGAGTGACAGTATGGTATCCAAAATCTCTGGCTTTGAACCTGAAAGGTGCTCCCCAGATCACCTTATCTTCTTTACAGAAATTTCACCCAGATTATACTGAGTCTGTCAAGCTCCATTCATACAAAGTTCCTTTGCAGAGCAGAGCCACAAATTATGGCAGGCAGAAAGATGTCTTACAAATGGCTTCCACTGCTGGTTTATCATTTGGGTATCCCTGAAGACTACTTTGAAAAAGCTTTGATTCACTTCCTCTTAAAAAAGACAAAGATTCACTTTGTGCTTTATAAAATGCTCTGTCAGTATCAGCATCTCCCTTTAAATTGCATTCAGGGAAGTTGCAGAAGGACAACATTTCAATATGGGTCAAGAGATAGTATTTAATTTCAGCATTTCATTAATGTCCAGGTGCCTTTTGAGAGTCACCATCAATACTTTCTTTTCCACCAAGCTCTGTTTATTTCTACTCACACAATTTACTTTTTCAAAGAAAAGTCAGTTAGCTTTTCGATTGCTGATACTCCACTTGACTTCAAGTTGCAGGCTGAGATGTGTAATTTAGAGTAAAGAAGTCCCCAATAAAAATAATCTGTCTAATAGGTAGACAAGTATTACAGGGAACACCAATGGGTATAGTTGAGACTGAATTTCTACAGCTCAAAGAAATTCAGAAGTGTAAACCACTACTTCAGTAGTACTTTTTGACCTCTTATTACTGAACTAATGAGCCACTTTTCTACTTTGTTTTCCAGGGGAGTACCAGATTTTAAACAGCGCAAAAACCTCAGTGCACATGCTAATACAAAACAGACAAGCAAAAGGTTTTCACCCTCAACATGCCAAAATGTTGTTTCCTGAAGGAGATATATCTCTAAAAAGTCACAGAAAGCATGGGATCTTACCTAATTTTGTTTTAAGTCACAATCATCAAAATCTTAAACAGCATTCCACCTTAACACTTATGACATACAGTTATGAATTTGGCTTTTGAGGGAGGCCTTTTAACATCTTGTATAGACACACTTGTACAGTAAAGGTGCCTTACACTAAATGAGTTTAATATCAGGAGAAACACTCCTTTTCTCAAATAATTACTTGTAGAGATGCTGTCAAAAAAAAAAAAAAAAAAAAGGCAGCACAGGTCACAAAATCTGTTCTCCTTAGGAACAAGATGCAATCAAAGCTGGTTTTGGAGACTTTATTCTGCTGTAATCTCAAAATCTCTTGTTTAAAACCAGGTAGTTAATGACAAATGGTGATATAGCTGCATGCATTTTCAGAAACAGTGTATTTCATAAAGCTTTCCTAGAGAATATACAACTCTTTCACCTCCTTTCTATTACTGCCACTATCACCATCTCCGTTCCTTTTTTCTTCTTTTATGATCATGAAAAGAGAAGTTGGTGGAATGAAAAGCAGTTTTAAAAGTTGATTCCAAGTTTTTCACAGTTCCCTAAAGGGAAAACTCTCCCTCAGAAACCACTGTAAAAGAGCTCCTAGAAAATAACACACCGGATGATGTTGTTAGAAATACGGGGATGCTGGCCAACTCTACATTAGCAAAAATTGCACAGCAATCTGTTGCTTTCAGGAAGTGCTGCACCAAAGACCACCAAATGTGAATTCATTCCACTAAAAGCATATTGGCAGCTACAGGGTTTTATCAATAACAATTTTGCTCATATCAGCACAGAAATGACACCAACAGTTAGGTAGAAAAGAAAGTTTAAAACTAAACCAGAAATTTTCCTTGATTGGGAATAGTCCTGGGACAAGAGCAGAAAGAAGCCTAGCTGCTCATGCAAAAATGTCTGACAGGAACTGGAAGGATCAAGAATTATCCATCAAAACACATCTGGTACCCAATTATTCAGCGAGAATAACTTCTTACCAAGGAAGCTCAGTTTCTGTGTTTACTTAGTGTTAAGGGAACCAGCAACCCCTTGTGAGCCCTGCTAGAAGCAAGGCACAACACCCTAACGGCAGATACCATCTAGTGACAGGTTTCCTGTGCAACACCCTCAATCCACAGTCTGACACTGGAAGTACACTCAGAGGACAGGAACAGCCAAAACCACTGTCAAACAGCACTGGGTCTCCAGATTCCTGACACGAGAAATAGACACCTCGCCTGTCTCAGCCTTCTAACTCTCAGCAGGGAGAGGGTACTGAGGACCCACAGCCCCACTGTGGTCCTAGCTGTGGAAAGCTGCTGAGTAATCAATCATTCAGTTGCTGACATAATTACAAAAGAAGTCATGACCTGTGCTGTACAGCTCTGTGTTAGATAACTAAGAGCTGGTGTAAGATCCTTTGAGCACCTGAGATATAAACAGGAAACAGGGTAAGAGAAAGAAGGAGAGTAAATCTGATATATAAATCCTACAGTACTCACCAACCTGCCAGTCCCCCTGTTTTGCAACTGCATTCGGTGCAGCAGCCCATATTAAACCACCAACTACAGCAAAATACCCTCCTGGTAAGTCTCACCTTGTTTCTAACACTGCCTGCACCATGGAAAGAGGAAATAATTCCCACTAATGAGAAGAAATCACACTATTTTCAGATGATTGCCTGTCCAGCTTGTTTTCTTCTCAGTCAAAAACTTCATATATTTAACTGCATTCCAAAGGTCAAAGGTTTGACATTATTGGTTTAAAAAAAAAAAAAAGCAAATTATTCATTATTATTTTAAAAAAGAAAGCATCCATTAAAGCCACGAAATCTGCACCTAAACTTAAACCATTCATTAAACTAATTTTAAGAAGCTATAAATTTTCATATTTCCAAAAAACCTGCAACCCCACAAAAGGGTTGTTCATGCATCTTGCTAGTTAGTGGAACCCACTCTCATGCTGGGAACATGTCAAAACCTGGGAGTTGAGGTCAAACACATGACATTTTCAAAAAGCAAAGACAATTCCCTGAGCCCACTACTGGCACAAAAGCATCCCTTCCTCCCCTAGCACTCTCTTAGCTGTCAGAAGATGCTTTTCTGCCTCTTGCCTCTTCCCTGTTTCTTTTTTTACCATTATCTGCGCACAACTGAACAGCCCAGTCTCTGAATGCACAGCAGTTGCCTTCACTGATGCACACAACACCAGACTAAGTCTCAAGAGGAAAAAAAAGTACTTCTGGATGATATTTGGGTTTTTCTACCTCATGCCAGAATTGCACTAGTCTTAACACCAGAGTGACAGGGCTAACAATAATTTACTGTCTTTAAGAGAAGTCCAGGCAT